TCCATGGTACTTTCAGCATTCTTCTCCAGCACCACAACTCAAAAACATCGACTCTTCTTTGGTCTTCCTTATTCACTGTCCAGCTCTCACACGCATATGATGAGATTGAAAATACCATGGCAGTGTCAGGTGCACCTTAGTCCTCAAGAAGTCATCTTTGCTCTTCAGCACTTGAAAGAGGTCTTTTGCAGCCAATTTGCCCAGCATCATCTGATATCTTGACTGCTGCTTCCATTGGTGTTGATTGTAGAACCAAGTAATATGAAGTCTTTCACAACTTCAATCTTTTCTTTATTTATCATGATGTTGCTTGTTGGTCCAGTTGTGAGGATTTTTGTTTTCTTTATACTGAGGTGTAATCCATACTCCAGACTGTTTTCTTCAATCAGTCATCTCACTCTCAGCAAGCAAAGTTGTGTTGTCAGTGTATTGCAGGTTGTTAATGATTCTTCCTCCAATCCTGATGCCACATTCTTCTTCATGTAGTCCAGCTTCTTGGATTATTTGCTCAGCATACAGATTGAATAAGTATGGTAAAAGGATATAACCCTGACACATTCTCTTCTTGATTTTAAACCATGCAATGTCCCCTTGTTCTGTTCAAATGAGAGCCTCTTGGTCTATGCACAGGTTCCTCATGAGTACAATCAAGTGTTCTGCAATTCCCATTCTCCTCAATGTTATCCATAAATTGTTATGATCCACACAATCAAATGCTTTTGCATAGTCAATAAAACACAAGTAAACATCTTTCTAGTATTCTTTGCTTTGAGCCAAGATCCATCTGACATCAGCAATGATATCCCTTATTCCATGTCCTCTTCTGAATCCAGCTTGCATTTCTGGAAGTTCTCTGTCAACATACTGCTGCAACCATTTTTGAATTATCTTCAGTAAGATTTTCCTTGCATGGTATTAATGATATTGTTTGATAATTTCCACATTTGGTGGGATCACCTTTCTTTGGATTGGGTACAACTATGGATCTCTTCCAGTCAGTTGGCCAGGTAGCTGTCTTCCAAATGTCTTGGCATAACCGAGTGAGTGCCTCCAGTGCGGCATCCATTTGTTGAAACATCTCAATGGGTATCCTGTCAACTCCTGAAGGCTTGTTTTTCACCACTTCCTTCAGTGCAGCTTTGACGTCTTTCTTCAGTACCATTGGTTCTTGATCACATGCCACCTCCTGAAATAGATGAACATCGACCAATTCTTTCTGGTACAGTGACTCTGTGTATTCCTTCCATTTTCTTTTGATGTTTCCTGCATCATTCAATATTTTGCCCATATACAAAACAAAAAAACAAAAAAAAATTCACTGCCATCAAGTCAGCTCCAACTCATAGCAACTTCTCCTTGGGTTTCTGAAGCAGTATCACTACAGAGTAGATTGGCCAATCTTCCTTCTGAGGAGTGGCTGGTGGGTTTGAACTGCCAGCCTTCTGGTTAGCAGTCTTTCAATATTGCAACTCGAGGCTTACATTTTTTCTTCAGTTTTTTCTTCTGGAGAGATGCTGAGCATGTTCTTCCCTTTTGGTTTTCTAACTCCAGGTCTTTGCACATTTCATTATAATAATTGACTTTGCCTTCTCGAGCTGCTCTTTGAAATTTTTAGTTCAGCTCTTTTATCTTGTCATTTCTTCCATTTGCATTAGCTACTTTCCATTCAAGTTTCAGAGTTTCTTCTGATATCCATTTTGGTCTTTTCTTCCTTTCCTGTCTTTTTAATGACCTTCTGCTTTCTTCATGGATGATGTACTTGATGTCATCCCAAAATTCCTCTGGTTTTCAGTCATTGGTGTTCAATGTATCAAATCTATGTTTTAGATGGTCTCTAAGAGCCATGTGGAGAACTGAAACTCTGCAACAGACACCAGCATCTACTGCCACTCATGAGGCCTTCTTGGACCTTCCAGTCCAACTGACCCTCCTGCTGATGTGGACATATGAGTGAGTCCAGGTAAAACCATCAAGAGAACCATTCCACCAACCCAAGGATTCAGAAACAGTAAACCATTGTTAGTTTAAACTACTATGTTTGGAATGGTTTGTTATGCAGTAATATGCTGTTATTAGGAACTGTGGAGTCAATGCCAACTCATAGCAACCCTATGTATAACAGAAAGGAACATTGTGTCATCTTCACAGTTATTGCTAATCACAATCATTTGAGCTCATTGTTGTGGTCATCTTATTGAGGGTTTTCTTTTTTTTTCACTGACCCTTTACCAAGTACGATGTGTTTCTCCAGCAATTGGTCCCTCTTGATGACATGCTCAAAATAAGTAAGACAAAGTCTTGCCATCCTCGTTTCTGGCTGTACTTTCTCCAAGACAGACTTATTCATTCTTCTGGCAATTCATGCTATATTCAATATTCTTTGTCAACACCACAATCCAAAGGCATCAGTTCTTCTTTGGTCTGTTTTATTCATTGTCTAGCTTTTCACATGCATATGAGGCAATTAAAAATGTCATAGCTTGGGTCAAGTACACCTTAGTCATCAAAGTGACATCTTTGCTTTGTAGAACTTTAGAGAGGTTTTTCGTAGCAAATTTGCTCATTGTTTCCTTTCTTGGCTCCTGTTTCCATGGGCTTTGACTGTTGACCTAAGAATGAAATTCATGACAACTTAAATTTCTTCACCATTTATCACGATGTTGTTGTCCAGTTGTAAGGAGTTTAGTTTTCTTTGTGTAGAATCCATGTGCAATCCATACATTTATCTTCAGTAGTAAGTGCTTCAAGTTGTCTTCACTTTGGGCAAGCAAGATTGTATCATCATATCTTAGGGTGTTAATAAGTCTTTTTTCAATCTTGATGCTGTGCTCTTTTTCATACAGACCAACTTCTTGGATTCTTGTTCAGCATATAAGGTGAAGAACACAACTCTGCTGCACACCTTTGCCAATTTTAAACCTGGTGTGAAGCAAGCATGAATAGAGCAGGAAGGGAGAGAATTGAAGAAAGACCAATAGATTTGGCTACAAGACGCCATAGATGTGCTGACATCTTAGATTTGGAAAAGGCCTGAAACTGTCAGGAATATTTCCAGTACACAAATGGATGTACTGAGTTCTGAAGGCCTGAGGCCATTTATTACTTGAATCATGTATGTGTAATTTATGGACTTGTTAAGATTCTATGTACCAAGAAATCCAGTCACTTGGCTTCAACTTGCATAGAGGCAGGCAGTGCACTGATCAACCAAAATTTATATCTAGCCTTCCCAACAATTGTTCTCATTGTAAATTCATAATTTTCATTTTATAATTTTTTAAAACAGGGCATTAACAATATCAGAAATTAACTCTGCAATTTGATATTTAATTTAGAGCTGAAATTAAAAGTCTGCTTACTAAAGTAAAATGTATTAAAATTTTAAACCATTTAAAAATATATAAAGTAAAAAATGATAGTCTTCCACAGTCCTACTGCCTAACCCCCAGTCCCCACCGCCAAAAATAGCAGCATTAACTGTTTGGTCTATATAACTATATGCACACATACACCTGCCACCACTTCATGTATACGATTTATTCTTTCTTCAGATGAAAGTGGAAGAATGTGATCCTAATTTCTGTAGAAATCAGACATTTCTCTCTAGTGGACTGAAAGTGTTTTTTTTTTTTTTAATTGTGGTAAAAGTATATATAACCTATTGTTGTTATGTACTGTCAAGTCGGCCCCGACTCATAGAGACCCCTCCTTGGGTTTCTGAGGCGGTATCACTACAGAAGTAGATTGCCCAACCTTCCTTCCGAGGAGTGGCTGGTGGGTTGGAACTGCCAGCCCTCTGGCTAGTAGTCAAGTGCCTTAGGTCCCATATATAACCTAATATTTGCCACTTCAATAGTTTTTTCATCTACAATTCAGTGATGTTGATTATACTTGAATATTTTAAAAGAAAGTCACAAACTGGAAATACGTAGTTTCCTCTCATTACATTAAACCCAAGAATATGTATCTCTAGCTGTGGTGGTGTAGTGCCTAAGGCATTTGACTACTAACCAGAAGGCTGGCAGTTCAAAACCACCAGCCACTTCGAGGAAGGAAGACTGGGCAATCTACTTCCATAAAGATATATCACCTCAGAAACCCAAAGGGGGTCACTAAAAGTCAGAATCGACTCGATGGCAGTGAGTTTTTATGTTTTAAGTATAATGACATAAACGAGGCAAATAATATGTTTTCCTTCATTTGTAACTCATTTGCATCACCTCCTCCCTCAGGATACTATCTTAGCAGTTAGAGCTGTGAGTTTTGCTACTAAAGGAAAAGGAGAATTTTCCACAGTCCATTTTTAAGTTAAATTCTTTGAATAATTTCTCTATATTACACTGATTTAGCCAGTTGTCTAAATGCTTACTCATATAAGAACCTTTTTATCTTTCTTGGAATTAGCTTGAATAGACCATTTTCAGAACAATCATAGACATTTAAGTCCAATTGTTTTTCTGATTACCTTAGCCTTAACAAGGGTTTCAGAGTCCCTCGATGGTGCCAGTGGTTAACACGCTCAACTGCTAACTGAAGGTTAGAGGTTTGAGTTCACCCAGGGGCACGATGAGTCAGAATGTACCCAATGGAAACTGGTAAACAAGAGTTTGGGGCGTCAAGAGATCTACACGTCTGAGAGAACTAGAAGAGCTGAAGCCCACAGTGTAGACTAGAGTGAGCATGGCATCCCAAGGCCTCCTGAAATTTCAAAGAAAACATCTTGTGTGAGGGAGCTACGGAAACACTAGATCTTAAGGTTCTCTGATTATCACTGCAAAGAGCTTTGCCAAGTTCACTTGTTAGAAAGCACCGGTTATTCTGGTTCCTCAGCTGAGTCACCAAAATTAAAGGCAAGTGAAACCAGAATTATGTTGTGAAACATGAATAAAAGGAATATCTTGAAGTAATTTCAGACATTATTATTATTATTATTTAGTTGTGTATAAAATTTGCTTTTTCAACTAGAGTGTTTTTCGGAGAGCAGTGTACAGAATACTCACGCTTTTGCCAACTCCACTGATATTTGTTCCAAAGAACATCCCTTTGTCTCAGGTATAAACACAACAACAAAAGCCAGGGAGGCCAGACTCATTATTGTATATAGAAAGCATACCCACGGCAGGCCAATAAGGTCTATAAAAAACAAAAGAAATTGGTTAGAAATGTGTATTGTGTTACTTTGATCCCATTTGTGGACAGCTGCTTCTTAGAACACATGTAAACCATAGGTATTTTCAAACATGCCAGTAGTAATGAGGGAAATGTTGTTGTAGTTGTTACATGCAGTGGAGTCAGACTCAACTCATAGCGACCCCTCCTTGGGTTTCCCAGGCAGTATCACTACGGAAGTAGATTGCCCCATCTTCCTTTTGAGGAGTGGCTGGTGGGTTTGAACTGCCAGCCTTCTGGTTAGCAGTCAAGTGCCTTAGGCACTATGCTACCAGAGCTCCCAATGAGGGAAATAGGAATCACAAATGAAAAATGTAGTCAGACTCTGACACTTTCATTTGCACGAATGACCTCAGCTTTCTCTGGTAATGTAAGTAGCCATTTATAACTTCACAGTTTAAACCATAACCATCTTCTTGGTGGGGCAATGATTTCTTTTTCAAACTGCTAATGTATTATTGGGAGCTCTGGTGGCTAAGTGCCTAAGGCACTTGACTGCTAACCAGAAGGCTGGCGGTTCAAACCCACCAGCCACTCCTCGCAAGGAAGATGGGGCAATCTACTTCTGTAATGATACTGCCTCGGAAACCCAAGGAGGGGTTGCTATCGACGGCACAGAACAACAACAACAATGTATTATTATTAATATATAAGAAAGCAGCTGCTCATTGCAAAACCAGCACCTCAAACAACACAGAAACAAAGAATGCAGAATGGAAAATATCTCCTCCCCAGCACCCTTACCCTCTGCAGTTCTTCTTCTTGAGAAGTACCCCTGTAGCAGGTTGGTTTCTTTGGTGGTGAACATTTTTAATGGCATATTTATACAGATGGATTTCTCTTGGAATGAGCTCACCCTTCTTTACTCTGGCCAGAGTTCATCATTTTCTAAGAGCTGGAGTGTACTTGTAAAGTTTCTACTTGGGTTTCCTTTTTGGAAAAGAGTGACAATAGTTCCACTGAAAGGCGTCAACTTACTAAGACGCATCAGCAAGAAGCAGGATTTGCAAGCTTCTGGTGGATCTCACCCACCAGCCTAGTTTATCTTCGGACCATTTCTAGCCAGAGGTACTGTCCCTTTGTAGGCAAAGTACGTTAACTGGTGAGGGATAGCCCCCAAAGCATCGGTGTCTGCCACTGGAATCTGTCACCCCTCTGCTCAACAGCAGAAGGTTGAGTCTGGCAGGGAGCAGTGAGAAAAAAAGCTGACTCTTTGAATTCAGGCTCAGACCAACCACAGGTTTAAGCATTACAAACAGCTCTTCAATTAACAGGTGCAGCCACAAATCACTGTTGGCCCATTCTGGAAAATCTACTGAGTGTGTAGCGAACACACTTTAATAAGTGCAGTGTGGAAGGATCTATGCATATTACCCACTTGTCTTTCAGTCAGTTCTGCTGAGGTGGGGAGAATCAGGAAGAAGGAACAACACTGCAGTTCTTTTGGCCATTTTAATTAAAACCCCACCCCTCTGTGCTTTTAATTAAAACCCCACCCCTCTGTTGCTGGCACAGGTGATTGGTGTTTTTTTTTGTTTTTCTCCCAACTGATTGCTTAATAAAGAACTTATAGAATTGGTCCTTCTTCCCTCTCTGGGACATAAGGTCAGAATACAGAAATCTGTTAAAACCAAAAGGTTATTTCATCAAATCTGTCCCCCCAATTCTGTACGAATACTTTCAGTAACAGGGAGCTCACCACTTCACAAAGATTGTGAGAATATCTGATAAAAAAGTGATCCCCTTACTCAGCATCCATAACCATCTTTCAGTAAATTCTGTTAGAGGTTCTGCTTTGTCTTCTTACATTACACATCATTGAATTGTCTCCTTCTCCCACTCTTTTTCATCCCAGCCATTCAAATATTTGAATGCACCTCCATCCCTTCCCTGAGTATCTTCTCATCCAGGTTAAACGTCCTGAATTCTTCCAACCATTCTTTATAAAATGTAAATGATATGTCCTGTTCATCCAGGGAACCCTCCTTTGGTGGATGCACTCCCATTTTTAAACACCCTGTTTACAATATTTACTCATCACTCTCAAATTATTACAGAGTGCAATATTGCAGCTGTGTCATGACCACTACAGAATAAGTCTGTCTATCTGGAACACTCTGATCTCTTGATATACCTAAAATTACATTAAGATTTTTGGTATTCAAGGGCTTGCTGCCAAGCAGAGTCCTTGTATCTTTTAGATCTCTGTATCTTGCAATTGTGAAATTCATTTTTGAAAATATGTCCAGATTCTCAAACTTAGTCCAATTAAATGCCATCTGAAGATTTGAGATTGTTCCAGGATGTTGACTGAGAACTTCCAAGTCTTCGTTAGCTCATCCACTATATAAACTGACCTTCCCAGAGATGATTTTGCCATTTGTTTTCTTACCTCATCATTTTTCTATCTCTATTCTAAACAACAAATGAGGTGAGGTGTGTGTGTGTGCGTGTGTGTGTGTGTGTGTATGAAAGTGAAGGGCATGCATGTACGTATGTAATCAGGTTAGGAAAGGTACAGTCAGTACCTTTGAAATAATGACCAGTGCCTTTATTTCTTTTAGCTTTGGGTTATCTCAAAAAATGAAGGACATATTCATTTAATTTTTTATATATAAAAACCTAAATCATGCTTAAATAGCAATTCCAAAAGTTAATCCAAAAGTGGATGTGTACTAAAATATACATATACACATATACATGTATATATGTATATATATGCAAGATCCCTGGTGATGCAGTATTTAAATGCTCATCTGTTAACCAAAACGTTGGTGGTCCAAACCCACACAAACTACCCACCACTCAGGGAGAGAAAGATGTGGTAATGTGCTTCCACAAAAATTAGAGCCTTGCAAACTCTATGATGCAGTTCAACTCTGTCTATAGGGTCACTATGAGTCAGAATTGACAGCAATGGGTTTATATATATAATATATATATATTCGTTCATGTATATTCTTCATGAATTGGGTTTTCTATTCAATGAATTGGATTTCCTTCACTTTTCGAAATATGAAAATACAAATACAAACCCAAATCATTTGTAAGTTTTGAAGAATGCTGGGGAGCCACTTCATTATTCTAAAAACTGGAAAATAAAGAGTAAGCAGCAAGCAGTTAGTTGCCTTACAACTTACAGGATCCATACTTAAGGATTGCCAAATGGTTCATGAGAAGAAATTTCTCCTTAGAGAAGTATTTTAGGCAGTAAGTACTCCAGATGAAAAGATACATCCCCATCGGCTGTGTGAGAATTTGCAAACCAACCCACCAACCAAAAACATCCAAATCTCTTTAAGCCTCTGAATGTAAATACAATTTACAGAAAGCATGAGGGAAAAAGGGATATGTGACATGAACACCATCAGCCAGTTCCAGATGGAGGAAAACTCTGTGAAACAAATAACTCAGTTTCTTCAAAAATAACAAAAAAGGATATGGAGATTAAATTTACAAATTATAAGAGAAATATCAACCAATTGTAAATTATGTATTTGGATCCTAATTCAAACAAATGAACTATAGAATAACAATGATAAGACAATTGGAAGAATATGAACACAGACTGGACATTTGTTTTTCAGGAATTATTAATATTTTTAGATATATGTGATAAGGATATTGTGGTCATATGTTTTAAATATCTTTTAGAGATCTATGATGAGATTTTATGGACAAAATAACATTATATCTGTGACAGGATTCAGAGTAATTTAGAGGAAATAGCAGGTAGAATTATAAATTAATTATGATCTATAAAACCATTTAGGTTGGGTGACAGGTACATCAGGTTTGTTGCCATTCTGTTCACAAAAGTAAAAAGAAATGTTTACTTTCTCTATGTTTGAAAATGTCCATATCAATGGTTTGTTGTTTTTTCCTTTTTAAGTGAATTTGCTTCCCTAAAGTTTGTTTTCAGAGCACAAAATACACTGGAGGAAAATGATTTCTTACCAGTTACAGTCAAAAAGGTCAGAGAGATGAGGAGGTTGATGCCCCAGTTCATGCTGGAAGTTAAAGCCATGGCTCGTCCTCTAATCCCACCAGGAAAAATCTCGCTGAGCACCAGCCAGGGCACTAAAAGAAGGGGAAAAATGGGCAGGGACAGTATAATTAATTAAAAACCCATTGAAATCATCCAAGCCCGCCATTGCTGCCCTGGTCCTGTATGGATTTGTAGCTGGAGAGCTGTGGTGTTTCCTACCTGGGCTGGATGGAGGACTGATGGAGGCTTTCACCTCACCTCCAGCCAAGTGAGAAAGGATTTAGGAGAAGCACTAGGAGAGCTTGACAAAGGTCCCAAGGAGTTAGAAGGGGCAAAAGACGCCAGTATCTGATGCTGGCCTGAGAAATACAAACAGGAGGGGCAGAACAGGAGCTACCTGCCTGGCAGCAACAAGAGAGCTGGCTTTGGACATCTGCCCAGCGGGCAGCACTAGTGCCTGATCCCAGCTGTACCTGCTATGAGACTGTGTCCTTTCCTGGAATCTCCTTTCCCTCTAACCTTAGAGAAGTCCGAAATCATAGCTAATGAGTGGGTAGGAAATAGAGTTAGGAGGGTAAGAGGAAGCCGGCAGATCCCCCTTCTCCTTCTTGGCTTCCTGGCCTAGGGCAATGACAAGCTAGCTGGAGAGAAGCTCTAAATTAGATAGAGCTCAAAGATTTGATTATTATACCAGAAAAAAAAAACATTTGAATTTCTGAAATGAGACTCTTCTTGGCACTAAAATAAATCAGAGGATTTTTTTATTATCTAAGAGTGACAGGGAATGGTATGGGACTCGCCTGATAGAGTTAGAGAGGGCAATTGAGGAGCAAATTAACTTGTCTTCTGCTCACAACCTATCAAATCCAATTTGCTTAATAAAATGACGATAAATTCTTGCCAAGGGCTGAGCACTTTATAAGCATTATCTCACCTGATGCTCACAAAAACCCAACAGGGTATGAAGGATTGTGATCCTTCTTTGAGAGAAGAGGAAGCTGAGGCCAAGAGGAGTTAATAACTTGTCAAGGTCACAGAGATTGTAAGTGATAGAAGTGGCATTGAGCCCTGGCAGTCAGGCTTTGGAATGTATGTTTTTCAATCACTGTACCTTCTTAGTAGTGATTCAGTAAACTTTTGTTAATGAATAAACACATGGAGCGTGTAAGCACCTTTGATTTGGAGGAAAGAAGTTAAGGGAAGCTGCCCCAGTGCTGGCTCACTGCTGGCTAATTTCCCTTTTTTTGGAAAGCCAGCATTTATATATACTGACCAGTCCCTGTAAAGCACAAATGGTTAGAGTGCTTGGCTGGTAACTGAAATTTTGGCAGTTCAAGTCCACCCAGGGGGAGTTCCGAAGAAAGGCTGGCCAATCTACTTCCAAAAAATCAGCCATTGAAAACCCTATTACGCACAGTTCTACTCTGACACACACGGGGTCGCCATGAGTCAGAGTCAACTCAACAGCAAGTGGTCCATATACCGACCAGACCCATAATCCTAGCGCAGAGGAGGAAGAAGCAGGAAGCCAGGAAGAGACCTCACTGCCAGCAACCACCTCAGCCATCTGTGCCAGACTCGAGCTGTGCCTGTATGTTAATCATTTGCCTCTCTCGACAGGATCACATTCTGTAGAGAAGACATCTGCTTACAGCGAATTTGCTGTTTTAAATAAGACAAGTACATCGAATCACAGAGGGATAGAATCTTCTCCAAATGAATCTTCGTAGGGTGTGTTTAGGGCATGGAAGATAATTGGAACAAAAGCAACATTATTATTATTGGTTTAATAAAATCTCATATCACCTCGCCCCTTGCCCCACTCCCAGAAGACCTTCACTAGGTTCTGCCAGATCGTGGTGGAAACACTCTTCTCCTAGTGAGCCCAGTACAATGCCTGATTAATGCTGACTCCAGCTTTGCAGGATCCGGGATCTGGCTCTGAGTGGAATGATTTCTGAGTAATTCTCTTGAGGCCTTTATAGCAAAGATTAGCCCTTGGGCCACTGCAAGATATAATCATATAAATTCTATTTTTAATCTAATTAATTTATGCACAGCTCAATCTTCCCCTCATGCCACTGGTTGGAGTAAAGCCTTTTGCTCTATCAGCCGTGAGAAGGAGATTGGAGGAAAAAGCTACCCCTCCATTTTCTTTTAACAGAAAAGTTAGCATAAGTTTTCTTGCCCCACCTTCACCCCCACCTCAACACCTTTCAACTTTCCTTCCTTGCCTCCGTACCTTTCATTATAACAGCCTCTTGGGACTATTTGGTGGTTTGGGGAGATTCACTGCTGTGTCTTCACAGTCTGGTTGACCTTCAGTAAGAATGAGCTGACCCTGCTGCTGTAGAGAATGGTCACTTGGCCAATAAGAAGATAGACAGTTGCACAAAGCACTAGATAGATCTATGTGCTCAGTCAGAACCATCAGGAGCTTGCGGAGAGGACTCTACAACCCACACTGAGAGGATGTCCTAAATTCAACACAGAAGCTGAGCTGAGTCCTTGGGCAGTGCAACCAGAAGATGAGCAATGCAGTAAATACTGAAAACGAGATTTCCATCAGCCCCTGCTCTGACAGGAACTTTCTGTCAGGCAAACTCTGCACCTTACGTGTCCAAGAAAAATGTGTCACTGCAGAAAGCTTATACTTCTTTTTTGATCGAATGGAAAGAATTCAAGATTCGAAGCCTTGATTTATTTAATATTAACAAACTGGCCATTGCCAACAATACAAATGTTTTGACAAGGATGGTTCAGTCTTCCAATATGGAGCCTGGCAAGTCAATAAAAAGAAGAATATTGTTTTAAAATAATCTCAGGACCATAAAATCACAGATTTTCAGATAGAGAATGAAATAAAAATTTGACAGTGGCGCTTACAGCCAGATGGAACTTTTTGCAGCAGGTCTTTCCATGGCAGCCTTAGGAGCAAGACGGTGCCAGATTCTTACAGGCCTCAGCGTTCTCTTCAGAGAGACTATGAACACCCAGAACAGAAAGAAAGGCAAAGCTTCATTTCAGTTCATAATGAAACAGCACAGAGGTAAAAACCACCACATGGGGATTTAATATATTGATGCTTATAATAACAGGTGGAAGGAAGTTTTCTTGAAAGCACTGGTGTTTTCTTCCATGAGATGCCCCAATTTCTCCTCAAGGTGAATCAAGTTACTGTCACTTGCAGGAGCTCCCTTTCACTGCCCAGTAGAAGTGGTGGCTCTCCCTGGGCAGCACTGCCTCATCACAGGGAAGGAAGACACCCTTTTTATCCCTTAACTTGATAACAGGCCAACAGGGGCCACTCTGTCCCATTTGCTTATAAGGAATCCACAGAATACACATTGGCAAAACAGAGATACACTGAACTCTTCCTAAATACACCCACTGAACTTTGGTGAGCCCTGAAACAGTTCTCCTTGATGCCTATCATTACACTTTCAATGCCCTCTTTCCAGGATGGCCTCAGCCATTTGTGCCCTGTAAATGGCATGGCGTGTCTGTGTTGTTAAGGTCTGCAACAAATAAAGAAATTTGGAATTCGCTGGGAGTAACTGTGCACAGATATCAGAACTCATAACTCTGATGAGACTGCCCATCAGAACCTGCCTGATCATGATGAAGTTTGCAGATAGAGTATGGCTGCACAGAGTGTCCTAAAAAACTGATGAAGGATAAGTATGCTGAGGTCTTTCTGTGTCCCACTGATAAAATGAACATGACTTACTTAATGGGGCACTCAAATCAAAATGACTTAACCCTGGACACAGGTAAATAGACAGCTGCCACTGAGTCGACTCTGATGCAGGGTGACCTTATGTACCAGAATGAAACACTGTCTGGCCCTGTGTCATCCTCATCATTGCCAGCATGTTCAAGCCCATCGTTGAGATTATTAGCCGCCTCACTGTGCATCTCTCTAACCCTCACTGGCCCTCTACTTTCCCCAGACACAATCTCTTCCTCATCAATTGAGTCCTGCTGCTGATGTGTCCATGTTAAGTGAGTTCGATGGTATTCTGTTGTGATCCATAAGGTTTTTATTGACTAGCTTTGGGAAGTAGATCTCCAGGCCTTTCTTCCTCCTCCATCTTACACTGAAAGCCATCCACCATGGGTAACCCTACTGCTATTTGAAATACTGGTGGCAGAGCTTCGAGCACCATAGCAACTCGCAAGCCACCACAGTAAGACAAACTGACAGACAGGTGGTGGGATTTAGCCCTAACTTATAAATGTCCATGCTTATCCCCTCCCTCCTATGTATTTCCAGCCACTGCCACAATTGACTCAAAGAAGCTGTCATTCAACTCTCTGCACTCTCAGATTTAAACTCCGCACACTTTCCATTTGGCCCAAGCTCTTCCTGAACCACCTGGCATGCTAGGCCAGGGTTTGAAAGACTCACAGAGGTCTTGGAACTCTTACCACAAAACTCCTAGCAACTTCGGAGAAAGTTCGACATTTTGACTGCAGAGGTGATTTGACAGGGAGCCAGTACTCCAGACTTTGTAAGGGTGAAGCCAAATCCGGCAGCCTTTATTGCCTTTGTAAACAGCATGCAGCACATCTAGCTCTCTGACTACAAAAAGGGTAATTTTTTGTGAGATGGAGAGGGAATATGCCCATTTCCTTCCAACCAGATGTTTAAATTCTGGCATTGTAAGTTTCCTAAGTGGAAAATTTATATTCTTTCAAAAATGTATTCTACTATTGGCCACCATCTCCAACCTCAGCAAAGATGTGGTAGCTGTCATTGCTTTTTCTTCATGTGTTCCCATTTATCATAGCCTCTTGGAAAAGAATTATTTGATTCAAGAAGAGTGTCTCAGATTACTTAAATTATAAACAAGAAAAGCAATTAAATCAAGTGCCAATAGTCCCCAGTGTTTTGGTCCTAACCAAAACTGAAATGAGGTTTTTTTTTTTTTTTTTCTTTAAATATTTTAGGAGAAATTGGACTAAATGGAATAACCCTCAATAAAGAATGCCAGGATTAAAAATTAAACACTTTTGTGATTAAGTACCCTTTGGGAATAGAAATTCTCTGGCAAGTGTCTCCAAAGTTTCTTGCTTGTATAGCATTTAA